TGAGAGAGACACTATGAGATGCCTGGCACGTTGGTTTAATGTGCGTCTGCTTGCAATTGTTGCAAGACCGGACAGAGTTGCGTGTCGGCAGAGTGTTTGTGTAAAAATGTTGAACAATTGGATTGAATTTTCACGTGTTTTGCACAGGAAAGCATGTGTGACATGACTATTTGTTTAAAGAAACAGGTCTAGTCAGAGAGCAACACTGGCTGCAGAAGTGCAACGGTTAAAGTGATTCAAGTCTTTGACTGATGTAGAGTTGTGGTAATGACGGTGCTGATGAGACTACAGGATGCCGAAATGTCCTTGACAAGCACAGCACACACACACACACACACACACACACACACACACGCCCCCTCCCCGACTCTGTGATTCTGCATGTGTTCCTGCCACTCAAACGTGTCAGCGAGTGTGTGCGAGAGAACGAGAAGCGGGAAGCGGAGCAAATGAGAGTTCGGGCGTGCAAATTAACAGGCAGCTCACATATCATACCTCTTCCTGGCCTTATGCTTGAGAAGCCAGTTGTCATGGAGACTGGGTTGTAAAAAGGCACAAAGGAGAGTGCAAACACAGAAGCCCCACCAACAATGACGCTCGCAGAGCTGATCTAGGTTAAAATAAGGGGAGGGGGGATTAGAAGGGTATTGAGAGCAAAAGCAAATGTGAGACCTCACTAGAAGAGGGTTTTGTTTTATGATGTTGCTTTTTTTTTTCTCATGTTTTGAGATTTCCAAAATACATTTTAGCACACCAGGTCAGGTTGTTTCTCTGATTAAAGTACTCAGTTTAAAAAAAAAAAAAAAGTGTGTCATGTCCGCTCTTATCGAGTTGTGGGAGATGAGATTAGACAGATAAGACTTCAATCCCCGCAGGAGAAGTAGCCAATGCCAGCGTAGGAAACGGGGCACAGACGGATGTAAGCTGGTCTACATTTAGTCCAACTGGTGGATACATCTGTGGCATTAAATTTGCCAGAAATCAGAAAACTACTTGGTAAAAAAAAAAAAAAAAATACAATCTGGGCAGATATTTAGCAACAGAACATTTGACACACTTTTAAAGAAAATCATTTAACTAATTTAAAGGACGTACATCACCATTTTTGTAACTTTTCTTTTTTTTAATTCTGCTGCTCTTGTTATTATTTTACATGTCCAAAATTTGAGAAATAGGCAGAAAACTGTAAATGTGGGGGGGGGGGGGATAGGGACCTCAGCTGAGAACACATCCAAACGATGTCAAGAATGATATAATTTATTGAGTGTTGAATAAGGGCATCAATTTGCAACGTCTTTGACACCCAAGGCAAAAAGTAATAGTTTGCCGTTTTTATGTGAACTCATAAAACAGGAAACATATGTGATGATTTATCGGTCAGGAGAGAGGTGGCATGGAGACCCAACAAGCCGGGATCCTACCCAGAAATAAAAAAAGCTCTCTGTGACAACCTTAGTTTACTATTAATTTATAACAAAAACTCTAAATTCTTCAGACATTACAGATGAACATTACAATTTCACAAGTTTCCAAAGTTGCTACTGTTGCCAGTGGGCATTTGTGATCCCATTTTAGCAACTTTGCCGTTAGTATAGCCTACATTATATGCTACCACAACACTAGTCAAACATTTGTCCATGTAACTGAACCATTGTACTTGTGTGGGAATTAACTATAGGACTGTAACGAAGTTCTCAAAACATTATTCCCCACTCTGTCTACAATTTATTTTCTCATCACAATATGTCATTTGGCCCTAAAAGGTTTCCTCAAGCTAATGCTGTTCAGGTTGTGTTTGGAAGGGACCTTAAAATGCTGATGTACAAACAGAAAAAGAAAAAAAAAAGAAAGGAAACTAGTCATGTAGCCTTGCTGCTAACTCAAGCTATCTGTGCTAACTGTACAGCAGGCAGCATTTTCCTTTTCCCTCAGCCAAGTTCCTCATTTAAAAAAAATCCTGGAGCAAATATTCTTTCCAGTGGAGTGCTTGTTTTTATAGTGAGGAGAAAGTGAATATTGCTGTATATGCGTGCACAAATATCTTTAAAATAAGAATATTACACATTGCAATATAAAAAACAAATCTTTGTTTTTGTAATTTCACACCATAAAAATGGGTTAAATGATTTTAAAACATCAGCAACAACTTTAGCCATGAAGACAGAGGCAACCAGGATGAAGTGCAAACGGTACCATGAGGTTCTAGACAAAGTAACCTAAAACATAAGGTTCAATATTGCTTGCACTGAACTAAATGGATGCATGAACCCTTTAAATTATCCTGAGGTGACTGAGAGATTGTAAATAACAGGAACAGCACTAAATGAAACTCAAAATAAAAATGTCCAGATAAAGCCAGGAAGTCATGTTACAGAGAACAAAAAGACAATGTCAAACAAATCAAATCCAAAGATTAAAAAGCCAGAAAAAGTGGCAGCAATATATATTTTGAAGAGTTGATTAGGATTAGACATGTCATTTCCCTTACTTCCTTCTCTTAAAAGTGAACTACAGACGTTACTGAATTCATACAGCAATTTACTCGTTTACGCTGCGGCGTGATTCCAGGTGCTGGCTCAGAAATGACTCCATGTTGGGGAAACCAGCTCAGGGCATATTGCAGTGCAGTTGAAAATGAGCGATTGCTGGCTCTGGCTGTAACGGGAAGGCTAAAGTCAATAACGTGGGGGCTGGAACAATGTGTGTTATAGTAGCACAGTCATTCCTGCTGCCTCCTGTGCTTAAACCTACTTTACTTTGACACTTTTTCAGTAGGTGCCTTCAGTCTGTGCTTAGTTCACTTTAGCATCACAGAGCAGACTGTGGTTTGGATCAGGTATCAGTGATTAAATGGACGGGTTTATGAAACTTTTTTTTTTCTCCGAACATCTTATTCAGATACTTTTCCAAGTTTTGATTTCTGCTTCATTTTAACTTCAATCAAAGTTATATTGTTTCATCTCGTGGCCCTTAAAACTCTTTCTGACTTGAATATGGTGACTAAACGTGGGAAATATTTTTTGCACAGTTCTGGAAAAAATATGCTGGAACCCTGAAGTCCCAGCAGGGTGAGCCATTAACAACAGAACTGATATCCACCTCTAATTATCATCATCGTGCCAGCTATACAGCGCTTCCGTCCCAGTGGAGGCTGATGAGGCTTTATGTATCAGGCAGCTGCTTTACTGTTAATATATTTCAAATATCCCCCTTTGGAAATCAACACAGTTAATGTTGGGAACATTTTAACATAATCTCTCTGCTTGCATTTTGCACTGTTAGACAGTAAAACTCTACAAGGAGAAGATGATCTGATCTGGTGGGGTTTTTTTTTCTGAAATCAGTGCCTTATTTATTTATTTATTTATTTTTTTTGTCTTTTAATAAAAATTTTTACTCTTGTCTAAGCCATCGTGTTTCCTATTCCGGCAGGTGTTGTTCTCCCTGACTCCTCGTCTTTTATCCCTCACCCTCCGCCTGTCTTCTCTCGCCAGCGTAGTGCCGCAGCCGCCCTCTAATCAGTACCTCTGTTTCCTGTTTCCTTCTCACCCCCGTTTCCTTTCGTCTGCTTCATCTGCCGTAAATCAAAGCTCCCCTGGCAGCCGGTTCAGAGGCGCGTCGACACCTTTCTTGTTTTGTTGTGTTGTGAGATCGAACAGCCAGTCATAATAGAAGCAAAGGCGCAAGCTGCACTGAAATGCAATCTCTATGACAACAAGAAGCTCCAGGACGGCATAGCTGGAGCTGGAGACGAGGGAGTCTTCAGGGTTGCTAGGATCTGATATTTTGACCCATCATTATGATTTCATTTTGAAAAAAATTTTTTAGGAAGGGCAAACATTTAAACGCATCTACTCAGTGTGGGGAAAAATTTACATTCAGATTTATGTTTTCTATATATATTTATATAAAATCACTGCCCCCATTGATGTCGCTCATTATTGTTTATTTGTTCATCCATATTCGTTGATCCTTTTCTCATGCTCTCTTCTCTCTCAAAGGTTGTTTATAGGAAGGTTTGTTGAAAAGAAAGTTGAATTTGGGTCTAATAAATTACTTTTGTGTTTATCTGATTATATATTTTGGTTCACTGGAGATTGAATATGACATAAATACTATCATTGGGCCAAAAGACACACCGAGAACCAGTTTCCTGTTCTCTAACACACTACAGCCTTATTTTCATTTCCAAATCCCCTGGTATTTTTTTAAAAACCTAATGATGAAATTCACTCAAATGAGGCCCTATGAGTGTGGAAGGCATCAACCTGATGCTTTGACTAAACCAACTCAATTCACAGCCCTCCCTCAGTTCAGATTTGAAGTACTGTGAGTGTGATTGCTGCTGTTTGTTCAAGAACATCTAATACATCTTTTATTTCTGCACTTTGCAACCACAATCCAGTGAAAACTGTGCTGCCGAGATTGTTATTGCCCTCACCACTTTCTCAGCGGCTCTGCATCTGCCAGTGGGTGTTTCCTTCCGGGCATTTGCTCGTTCTTGTGAACTCTTCTGAGAATGCGGACGGCGCCTGTCGCTGGATGTTTTTGGCTGCGAGCGCTGACCTGCGTCCAGACGGCGCGACAGTGACAAACAGGACCCCACAGCAGCGGCACCTCCTCACATCATTAACCACCATCCATCTCCGGAGCACCTGATACTGAGCACCGCGTTCCCATCAATAAAACGCTTCAGCTCCTGTGGGGGCAATAGGATTTTTCATGTGCAAGCAGCTCTTGTTGAATCCTTCATTTATTTATTTTTTTCCTTTTTCCCCCCGTCTTCATCTCTGGTGTTTTCCTCCCTGTTCTGCTTCCCTCTAATCAGATTTCTGATGTTTTCTGCCGACTTCACAGTCTCAAGTTTGCTGATTTTTCTCATTCCGAGTGTCTGAAAAGCTTTAATTTTCCTCAGAGGACCATATGTTTAATAAGCAGGGCACAGGTTTTGAGAGTAATTAATATCTTTTTGTTTTGTTTTTTTTTTCATTTTGCTGCAGATAAAGCAGATGATGAGCTTGAGATGACCATGGTGTGTCACAGGCCTGAGGGTCTCGAGCAACTGGAAGCCCAAACTAACTTCTCCAAGCAGGAGCTGCAGATCCTCTATCGCGGCTTTAAGAATGTATTTACACACATCAGATCACTTTGCTTTGCTACATAATGCAAAACTCCAGCAAAACTCCAACTGACATCACTATTTTTTTTTTTTTTCCCCCCCCAAAGGAATGTCCCAGCGGAGTCGTAAATGAGGAGACCTTCAAACACATTTATGCACAGTTTTTCCCTCATGGAGGTAAAAATTTTAAAAAATTATTTATTTATTTTTTCATATTTCTGTATTGCTTTTTATATGCTTAAACGTTGATTTTGTCGTCGTTTTTGCAGATGCAAGCATGTACGCACATTATCTTTTCAACGCTTTTGACACAACAAACAATGGCTCCATCAAATTTAAGGTAAAACTGCAACTGGAAGCAGTTATGATAATGTCCTTTTTAACAACCCCATCACTGCACACGTCCCTCCAGACACATTTCCTATACGGTGCTGGTCGAACGGCTGGGCTTGGACCTCAAAGACAAACCCAGAACTAACAGTTTTCCTTAGTATTCAGACTGAACACATAAAAAAAAAAAAATACTAACAAAACACTGAATACAGTTGGAGGTACATATGCAAAACAGTTCAAGAGGAAACATTTGGGCAAATAAGTTCATTATAACCAAATGAAAAGTTGCTCATCATGTTGAAAAGTAATTTCTAAGAAATACCTTTCTTCTGTTATTTCCCAACTCCTTGTATTCAGAGCATCTTAATAGTCTTTGGTTTTACTGAAATTTCAACCAGAGACTATGTTGTACAGCTACCTCGTCCAAAAATAATAATAACAATAATAATAATAATAATAATAACCCTGAATTACCCTGAATGTTGGTACATTCAGAGTCATTCATTCTGAGACTTTCCGAAATGACATATGAGATAAACTTCTCAAAATTATAGCGCTCTCTAGTGGTTCATGTTTCTCAAACTGGATAGGGTGTGAATTTAATCTGATCTCTGAGGTACGTCATTAACTTATTTAGCTCGCTCAGGATGAAACTTTTTTTCACTTATTTTTTACTCACAGTTTGCAAATCTTTCAGTCGTTCGTGTTTGGTTAAAGGAAATTTAGTTTGATGGTTCTATTTTTTTTTTTTTTAATGTAGCAAAATCATGAAGAAAAGGCAACCTGCCAGGAAAATCATCCAAATATTGATTTACATCAAGAGTTATTGTAGAGATAATTAGCGATCCAAAAAAATACTACTGCTTTACTACTTACTTCACGCCTTAGACTCCCTACAAAACTGGTAAAAACAAAAATAACTTTCTTGTGCATTCTTGCCGTTTCTGCTTGTCCTGCTGGCAGGACTTTGTGGTGGGCTTATCCACTCTACTGAGAGGAACCCTGAGGGAAAAGCTGGAGTGGACATTTCATCTTTATGACATCAACAGAGATGGATACATAAACAGAGAGGTGAGACCTCGCTACTCGAGCATTGTGGCTATGCTGTTTTGTTATTCAAAACGTTTCTCTGAATTGTGTTTGCGCAGGAAATGACGGAGATTGTAAGAGCCATTTACGACATGATGGGCAAGTACACCTACCCTGCTTTAAAGGGAGATGTGCCACAGCAGCACGTGGATGCCTTTTTTCAGGTTTGTGTCCAAAGTCCATCAACAACGTAGAAGAGGCAAGTTGATGTTAGACTGACTGAACAAGGCACGACTTTTATCTAAAACTGACTCTTTCACAATGAAAAAAAACAACAACAAAAAAAACAGTTTTGATGACCTTCCCCCTGCCAGAACTTGCTGATGAATGACTGAAATAAATGGCTCGTTTTGTCGTCTTTAGTGGAGCTAACAATAGATAAATAAGTTTGTTGAAACTGCATGAGTACATCTTTTTCTAGGGCTGAATATGACACAAATCAGAGGAGCATAAGCAAAGCCCAAGTTCAGCATGAGTCTCTGTGCTAAAAAAGAAAAACAGCTTGTCAGCCTGACACAGCCACGAGAAAAGACATTTGTGGACGTCCAGTGTCCTAGAGGGGTGGAACTGGACTCATAAACCTATTTTTAAGCTGCTTATTCAACGAGGTTTCTGGATGAGATCTTTGCCTGACAGTAGTCTGGAACCCCCCCCCCCTGCACACATTCTTTATTCTTTGCTTAGTCTCTTGCATTTTGTTGTAATTCTTTACACTGTTTCACGTCAGCAACCGTCACTGCAACCTTAAATTACCACTAATTACTCTTTATTTCCCTACAGAAGATGGATAAGAACAAAGACGGAGTGGTGACTATGGAAGAGTTTATTATTGCCTGCCAAGAGGTACGCATTTTCCAACATCTGTGTGGCGTATGCTTAAGAACATTAAGTAAACGCATAATGAAAGCTGTCCTGTCATCTCTGCTTATAAGGTCTTTTTAGTTTGAATTTGTATTTTTCTGATAATCAGACATTGCACAGCTTTATGGAAAAGACACATTTTTCAGCAGTTCTGTGTATGCTGGTATAAAAGCCCAGTTTTTATTTTTTTATTTTTTATTTTTTTCGTGTCAAAGTTCCAATAATTTGCTGAGTCAATATTTTTGGCTTTTTCCAAAAGCTTAGGATTATTGCATATTTCAATGCAATAATCCTAGGATTTCTAGGACTCTAAAACTAACTGGGATGTTTGCTAAAAAAAAAAAAAAAAAAAAACATTGAATGGAAGAATGACTTTATACACATAAGTGTGTCAGTAAAAACTCTTATGTCTGAGAAGTGGCACAAGGAATAAGGGTTAAAAAAAAACACAATCCAACACCCACAACATTTTCAAGAACATGGAAAAGAAGAAAAGTCCTTTCTTTTTAACCTTTTTTTTTACATTAGATATTAGTGTGCTTAAAGAAAACCTGTAAAAAAAATTAAAAAAAAACTTCTATAAAACCAGGAGCTGCTATGAATCCAGGTTGTTATCCAAGACCAATCTAACCGTTCCTTAAGTGGCCTTGCTTTGTCAGCTTACAATATGTCATATTTATGTAAATGTTTTCCTGTCAGTCACTCAACACACAGTAGTACTGACGGTAAAACTCATCTATCCTCCTTCTATCTCCCTGCAGGATGAAAACATGATGAGATCCATGCAGCTGTTTGAAAACGTGATGTAGGACGGCTGGAAACAAAGAAGACAGGAGCATGGCAAACCAGAGGGCTTTGTGTGTGTGAGCGTGTGTGTGTGTGTGTTTGCGTGCACATGTGCCGTACATCCAGTCTATCCTTGTGTTCCTGCTCTCGCCAGCTGAGCTCTGGAAACAGCCAGAGCTTCCTGTGATGACACTAATGAGGGGACTGGAGTGGAATGCCCTCAGCCTTCCCGCCGCGTTTGGCCACACAGCAAAGTGATTAATGTGACAGGCGTTGAGCTCCGTCAAACAGATTGGCCGTTTAGATGCTCCGACATTGAAAGGATGCTTTGACCTTCGAAGAAACATGCCTTCCAGAGGTGGACCTACTTTTCTTTTTCTTCTTTTTGCCATGTGTTGTTTGCTTTTTTTTTTCTATCCAGACTTACTTGCATGTGTTTGAGGGAAAAAAAAAAAAAAAAGAAAGTCATATTTCCTGATACTTGTCAGATTTTTCCTGAAACGTTTGCCATAATTACATCTGCATTAATTGACTCATACATCCAGTGGTTGGAAGGATTAAAAGATTGAATTTGCGAGTATGGATTTTAGTGACGCTTCTACATTCGTGTCGACTTGGCTGCTGCTCAGACCTCTCTGTCTTTTGCTTGCTGTTGTTCTGTGAAACGCCTGCATTAGAGAGTTCAAACATTTAAGGTTGTAGGTTATATAGATCTTACATGCTGTGTCGGTCGCCTGTCTTTTTGTATTTCAAAAGACTTCATGTTGTCAAAAAATTCAAAACTATATGACTTTAATTGATAGCATTTTTATGAGGTCAAGTCAAAGCAAAGCAAAGAAACGTATGTCATTTCCAGGGATTACAATATTTAAGCCATAGTTTGGGATTTTCAAAGTTAAGTTGCGGTAATAAAATAGTCATGTGCTGTTAATGTTTCAGCTGCTGAAGATAACTCTTTTGACGCCTTTGTCGAGTTAGTAGTGCCGTTTCCCCTCAGGCTAAAGCTAACAGCTAGTCCTGTATCCTTCACACATACTCCAGTTTTCAGAAATGTCAGATTGAGAACTATCCGATATATGTTTTAATCCTCGTCGCAGTTAAACTACGTTGCTATTTAGATACAAGAGTTATTTACCAAAGAAACACAAGTAGCCTGGGTGGTGGTGTGTTGCCAACAAACCTCAGTATCATAGCATGTACTTCTGAAAAAAACTGGCTTTTCTGGCCATGAGCTTTAAACTGCCTGCAGTTTAACACGGACTAGAAATCTTTAGAAAGGTCCTTTCTCTTATTACACTGTCTGAAGATCACTGGAGCACACAACCATCTTTCTGCATTTCTACTCTAAATGACTGCATACTTTCAGTTAAATATCCATGTAATATAAGAAAGCATTTGAAAAAAAATAAAATCACTATGGCGTCTTTAGGATTGAAGCAGATTTAAGAATCTATATTTCATGAAGAATATTAGAGTTTTATCTACTGTGTGGAAGTTAGTTGACAACTAGGTTTAATAATAATCCAGGTTGGAGGGCGCTGGACCAATTGACTTTTACCGCCTTAAAGATTTGCAAAACCAAAAGCATCAAAATATCTTATCCAATCTCAAACACTTTATAGGACAGGAGGACACAATCTTACATTTTTTTAAATATTTACTCTGAGTGAAAACGCTGACATGTTTAGGTCTCAGCATGTGTTTCACACACATCAGTGTCGCACTGCCTCCTAGCTTAGTTTAATGCATTAAAAAAAATCTCCTATTTAACTCTTAATACTTACCCAATAGAAATATGGCAATGTTTAGCTGTTCAGACTACATCTGTCAGATAAACCACCATGATGTTTTTGAGATTGGAGTTGTTTAAGACGGCCCACTTTAGTCTTGGGCCGTTTCGGATTAGCCATTAGCTTCAGCCTCCTGGACCATTTTACCTGAATTTATACTGTTTAAAAGACCCCAGAAGAGGTATCTTCTGCAGATCAGAGGACAGCTTTTACCTTTAAAATAATCTTACCTCAAAACGTCTGGGCTGTCCTTGTGATATTAGTGCAGAGGCCAGCATTTGGATGGTAGTGGATATAGCTCATTTTGCTAAGTCTAGAAGAGTGAAGGTTGTCGGAGGTCAGATTTAATGTCAGCTTTGAAATTATATGACCTGACATAATGAACATGTGACACTGACCAAAACAGTGATTTTACACCTAAAGTACAGACAGAACAGCACATCTATTATTGTTTTCTGTGAGTTTTCCAGCATTTGAAAGATAATAGGAAACTCGCAGGCCTACAGTATTTTAATCACTGAAATATTAACCATTTGCTTTTTTAAGTCGGTGGCGCAGTTCTTTAGTGTGTGCTTGATCTGTGTGACATCCCCTCCCCTGCTGTACAGTATCCTTTGTTGAAACAGAGTTGCTATATCATATTAACAGAAGAGTCATTTAAAGCCACAAAATAAATATTTAAATTATTTGATTGTTGTGTTTTACTTTACTTTGCGTAAGCTCGATATCATAAAATATTCAAGCCATTCACATCATTGCGTTGGACAAGGGAGAATATGCAACGTTCTGCAACACACACTGCATAAATGAATAAGTGATGAACACCACACAGAGAACTCTGCATTTACAGTAGCTAGGATGTGTCCAAAATAACGCCCAGACACATTTCAGAAATAAGACTTTTTTTCTCTGAACGTTCAAATTTGTGCACTCACAAGTAGCAGCTGATTTAGCTTCAGCTACGGCTTCCTCCAGCGTTCTGAACACTCCAGGCAAAGATGAGTGCAAACGCCTTAAAATAAATGGTTGTTATGGAGACTTGTCACTCGCTGCTCCAGTTCTGTAAGAGTAAGAAATTATATTACCACACTTAACACCCTCCTTGATGTGTGTGGTGGAAAGATAAACATGTGCCCTTCTTCCAGTTCCAGTTTTTTCAAGCTGCTGTTTATTTCCTTACTTAAGGAGATTAGCACATATCCAGTTGACGGAAACATGAGTCAGAGAAGTGGATGTTTGTCAAGTCACATTTATGACCAGAGGAAACCAATATTTCCAGGTAATTAATTAAACATTTCTAGGAATTCTGATCAACTGTGGAAAAATGACAGATTATAAAGATTTCAGAGTTTTAACTGCCTGTACATAGGTAGATAGCAGTGGTGGAGAAAGTACTCAAAAAATGTACTTAAGTAAAAGTACA